AACATTCGATAAACTTCACCACGTCTAGTCAAGGCAAAAACATTTTTTGGATCTAATTCCAAAACTCTTGTAAAATCTTTTATAGATTTATCAAAATCTTGAATTAATCTATAACATTCACCACGATTTTTAAATAAATCCACACTATTAGGATAAATGCATAGAGCAAAACTATAATCATTTATGGCATCATTATAATGACCAATTTTTTGATAAATAGTACCTCGAGTTTTTAATAAAAATAAATCATCAGATTTTAATTGTAAAGCCAAATCTAAATGTTTAAGAGCTTTTTCATAAAGTTTAGATTTAAGTAAAAGAGTAGCAATGTTTTTATGAGCCAAAAAATGTTGAGAATTAAATTGTAAGATCCTTTCAAAATCATCCATTGCATCACTATCTCTTCCCAAAGCCATATAAACATTACCCCTTCGTTCTAAAGATAAAATATTCTCATCAAATTGTAATGAAGCGTTTAAATCCACAAGAGCCAAATCATTACGTCCCATTATTCGATAAATTTCACCACGATGAGATAATGTTGAAGCGGTTGTAGCATTACTTTGATCTAAATCGAAGGCATAATTTAAATCGGTCAAAGCCTTATTATATTGACCAAGTAAAAAATAAACTTTTGCTCTACGTATTATGGTAAAAACATTATTTGGTTTAATCTCTAAAGCAGCGATTAAATCAATTAGAGCATCATCATATTGACGAATTACGACATAAACTTCAGCACGAGATCTTAAAGCAAATACACTCTTTTGTAATTTAAGAGACTTATTTAAATCGATTAAAGATTTTTCATACATAGAAATAAGGCGATATACTTCACCTCTAAGAGAATAAGCACGAGATTTCTTTGGTTTTTTTGCGATAGCATGATTTAAATCATCCATTGCTCTATCCCAATCTTCAATTTGATAAGAAGCATAAGCACGATCACATCTAACGGAATAACTTTGAGGATATTTCTCCAAAACTAGAGTAAATAAATTTATAGCATCATTGAATTGCATTTCTTCTAAAGCAGTAATAGCTTTTAAGTAAGCGGGTAAAGTTTTTTTAGATCTCTTAAATATACCAAATTTCTTTTTTTTTATAGGAGTTAATAAAATAAGACGATTTTGTTGTTTTGAAACATCATTATCAATATTATGAATATTATGATCAGGTTCACCTCTGTTTGAACGATTATCGTAACCGTTGGTGGTAGAATAATTTGAAATACGATCATAAGAATTGTTTTCAGAAGTACTAAAAGTCAAAAAATCCGGATGTGGTTTAAGATCCGAATATCTTGAATAATTAGATTTATGAGGTAAAAAATTTTGAGGATCTTGCATTGAGGCTTGACTTGAATCATTTAAAGTTGGAGAATTAGAATTTGTACTGGAATTTAAATTAAATTTTGGGGAATTTAAATCCTTATCGAATTGATAATCACAAGAAACGCTCTTGTCAAGAGTAGGATCCCAAGTAGATTGAGAAGTATTGATATTTAATTGTTCTAATTTTTGATTACTTTTTACCATTGTTAAGGATCTAACTGGAGTGGGATGTTGTATAGTATTTGATCGACTATCGTGTGATGAAAGATTAATGTCCGAGCGGGAATGTCGAATACTTTTTAGAGGAGGATCCGAAGAAGAACGAGTCTTTCTTGATGGAGACTTTTTTCTTATTTCTTTATTATGATTGAATATGGATTGCTCAGGTAAAGATGGCTTTGGATAAATATCAACTCTTTGATCATTCCCGTTTAAACGAGTACGATTACGTTCATCATTATTTGACAGATTTTCAATATTTGTACAACGATACATGAATTTTCGTTCATCAAGAATTCCAGATCGAGATGGATTTGTTATTTGCAGATTTTCACCAGCCGTAATTGGAGCATAGTTAGTTTGATGGTGAATAAATGATCTATTGTTAGAGAGATTGACAGGACGAACCAAGCCAGCTTCGGTATAAAAAGCAGTATGTTGAATTCTAGTGTTGTTAATCTGATCAGTGATAGTCTCAGTATTTGAACGAACAAAATTTACAGGAGTATGAAAGCTATTTCCAGAACGAAAAGGAATTAAGTATGGAGAGAATATGGAGTGATTTTCAGGGTCATAATCAGACTCATTTTGAAAAGAATGTGTGCGCATGATGTTAGTTGATGGTTTGGATAAAGACATTGAAAGTTTTTAGCCAACTAACAATCATAAAGATTGAAATCAAACAGACAAATAGGTATATATAATAAATATTGTCGTTATACTCCTCCTTAATTGTCAAGTCTTTTTTTTTTTTTTTAGTACGTATAATAAAGAAAATAAAAATCGTTACTTTTACGTAGAGAAATTATAAAAATTATAAGTAAATTATAAGTAAATTATAAGTGGAGTAATTTACAAATTTTATTGTATTATGTATATCACATTATTCTATGTCCGGAAAAAGATATTATTATTAATATTAGCGTTAGTATCTACACTACATCAAAGTGGGAACGAAACAGATTATCGTCCCATTCTGGTAAATCAAATTGTCTAACATTCCCAAGACTCGTAGTTTCTTAAACATAATAGGATTAGGCTGATTGACTGTCCTAATAAATTGCCCAATATAACACTTTAAAAAATCTCTCATCTGGATCCAATCTCGTCATTTCATACTTCCTAAAAAAAAAAAAAAAGACTTGACAATTAAGGAGGAGTATAACGACAATATTTATTATATATACCTATTTGTCTGTTTGATTTCAATCTTTATGATTGTTAGTTGGCTAAAAACTTTCAATGTCTTTATCCAAACCATCAACTAACATCATGCGCACACATTCTTTTCAAAATGAGTCTGATTATGACCCTGAAAATCACTCCATATTCTCTCCATACTTAATTCCTTTTCGTTCTGGAAATAGCTTTCATACTCCTGTAAATTTTGTTCGTTCAAATACTGAGACTATCACTGATCAGATTAACAACACTAGAATTCAACATACTGCTTTTTATACCGAAGCTGGCTTGGTTCGTCCTGTCAATCTCTCTAACAATAGATCATTTATTCACCATCAAACTAACTATGCTCCAATTACGGCTGGTGAAAATCTGCAAATAACAAATCCATCTCGATCTGGAATTCTTGATGAACGAAAATTCATGTATCGTTGTACAAATATTGAAAATCTGTCAAATAATGATGAACGTAATCGTACTCGTTTAAACGGGAATGATCAAAGAGTTGATATTTATCCAAAGCCATCTTTACCTGAGCAATCCATATTCAATCATAATAAAGAAATAAGAAAAAAGTCTCCATCAAGAAAGACTCGTTCTTCTTCGGATCCTCCTCTAAAAAGTATTCGACATTCCCGCTCGGACATTAATCTTTCATCACACGATAGTCGATCAAATACTATACAACATCCCACTCCAGTTAGATCCTTAACAATGGTAAAAAGTAATCAAAAATTAGAACAATTAAATATCAATACTTCTCAATCTACTTGGGATCCTACTCTTGACAAGAGCGTTTCTTGTGATTATCAATTCGATAAGGATTTAAATTCCCCAAAATTTAATTTAAATTCCAGTACAAATTCTAATTCTCCAACTTTAAATGATTCAAGTCAAGCCTCAATGCAAGATCCTCAAAATTTTTTACCTCATAAATCTAATTATTCAAGATATTCGGATCTTAAACCACATCCGGATTTTTTGACTTTTAGTACTTCTGAAAACAATTCTTATGATCGTATTTCAAATTATTCTACCACCAACGGTTACGATAATCGTTCAAACAGAGGTGAACCTGATCATAATATTCATAATATTGATAATGATGTTTCAAAACAACAAAATCGTCTTATTTTATTAACTCCTATAAAAAAAAAGAAATTTGGTATATTTAAGAGATCTAAAAAAACTTTACCCGCTTACTTAAAAGCTATTACTGCTTTAGAAGAAATGCAATTCAATGATGCTATAAATTTATTTACTCTAGTTTTGGAGAAATATCCTCAAAGTTATTCCGTTAGATGTGATCGTGCTTATGCTTCTTATCAAATTGAAGATTGGGATAGAGCAATGGATGATTTAAATCATGCTATCGCAAAAAAACCAAAGAAATCTCGTGCTTATTCTCTTAGAGGTGAAGTATATCGCCTTATTTCTATGTATGAAAAATCTTTAATCGATTTAAATAAGTCTCTTAAATTACAAAAGAGTGTATTTGCTTTAAGATCTCGTGCTGAAGTTTATGTCGTAATTCGTCAATATGATGATGCTCTAATTGATTTAATCGCTGCTTTAGAGATTAAACCAAATAATGTTTTTACCATAATACGTAGAGCAAAAGTTTATTTTTTACTTGGTCAATATAATAAGGCTTTGACCGATTTAAATTATGCCTTCGATTTAGATCAAAGTAATGCTACAACCGCTTCAACATTATCTCATCGTGGTGAAATTTATCGAATAATGGGACGTAATGATTTGGCTCTTGTGGATTTAAACGCTTCATTACAATTTGATGAGAATATTTTATCTTTAGAACGAAGGGGTAATGTTTATATGGCTTTGGGAAGAGATAGTGATGCAATGGATGATTTTGAAAGGATCTTACAATTTAATTCTCAACATTTTTTGGCTCATAAAAACATTGCTACTCTTTTACTTAAATCTAAACTTTATGAAAAAGCTCTTAAACATTTAGATTTGGCTTTACAATTAAAATCTGATGATTTATTTTTATTAAAAACTCGAGGTACTATTTATCAAAAAATTGGTCATTATAATGATGCCATAAATGATTATAGTTTTGCTCTATGCATTTATCCTAATAGTGTGGATTTATTTAAAAATCGTGGTGAATGTTATAGATTAATTCAAGATTTTGATAAATCTATAAAAGATTTTACAAGAGTTTTGGAATTAGATCCAAAAAATGTTTTTGCCTTGACTAGACGTGGTGAAGTTTATCGAATGTT